CTTTCTCCTCTGCCTTTGCTCCAAGGAGGAACTAACCAGCCCAAACCAGCAGCTCCATGGGGTCCAACTGGCACCAGCCTCCACCCTCCCCAGTTGCGAGAGAGGTGTCACTTTGAGTTAAGTCAGGCCAACAGCAGCTGAGGATGCTTTCCGCTTCCACCCCCTGCGGTCACGAGATTTTGCCGTGCTCCAAAGACGATGTGTTCGACCCTCAAGTGCCCTTTGGCGGTAATGCCATCATGGGAGAAAACAACAAGCAACCAACCCCCACCTCCTTGAGTGTCTGTGGAGGGAAGGGGGAGGCTGTGCCATTGCTTTTTACTGGGGAGTTCTTCTGTGCCTGGCCAGAGGGTCTGTGGTCCCCTAGGAGGGACAGAACACACACATCACCCTCTTGTAATCTGCAGAGAGAAGCAGAACGGATCTGGGTGGGATGTGTTTGAGGCAGATCGGCAGGACACCGAGATCTGGGAACCTCAGAAGCAAAAGCCTTTTGCCCATATATAGCGCTCTTTCTGCACTGAAACACTTGGCACAGACACGTTCTGGAAAAGGGAACAAAGGTTAAACTTGTAGCCAGAGACAGATCAAGTGATAACTGCCTGGTTGCAGTTATCCACGAGCCGTCAGCCTCCCACTTGGATAATTCCAATGTGTTATATATGGGATTACCTCTGAGGATGGCCCAGAGGCTTCAACTAATGCAAAACAGACCAACATGGCTGGTTACTGTGATAGATTGTTTTGATCATATAAACCCAGCAATGGCCACAGGACAACTGCATTGGCTACCGGTCAGTTTTTAAGCCTATTTCAGTGTGTTGGTGCTCAATAGGAAAGCGCTAAATGGCTAAGGACCAGCAGTCTTGAAGGCGCACCTGCTCCCAGACCTTCCTGCCTGATTACTGAAGTCTTCTCCGGGGGCCGTCACTCTCTCTGGTGTTATAGGTGGCCATAGGGAAAGAATGGTCCCTGCTGTAGCTCCTCCATCTGTGGAATTGCCTACACAAGACTGATCTCCTTGGCAACCTCTTTAGGAGTTTTTAGAGGCCAGTCAAGGACCACCTGGGCATCTTGTCTTCAATTATACTACTGGTACTCCCATTTACGCTTTTATTGCTGTCACATGCTGTCTCAGTGGCCTAAGAGTTTCACGTTCTGATTCAGTTCGGACTGCTTAATTTGGTTTTATTGCGTTTATTCTATTTATTATATCTCTATACCACAGCATCTAGTGACATAAAAAAAATATAAAAAGGAGGACAACACTCCCAAGAAGCCAAGATGGTGGCAATGGACAAAACACAAACTAAAAAATAAAGTATAACACGCAACAACAAAATCAGTTAAGCTAAGTATCAACCCAAATCCCCCTCCTCATTTGGTAAGACTTTCTAGAGAACCTGGTTGACCACATTGGTGTGTGGATGAACACTGTGGTCCGTTATCACGTTGTATGGGGCTCGTTGGAGTTAGCTAGACAACACTAAAGTGCATTAAAGTGCACTGTGTCATTAAGTTATTCACTGTCAGAAGAGGGACCTTTTTTTTTTCACTGAACAACTTTTTCCACCACTATCTGTAGATTTGTAAGCAAAAATGCTGCCCAGTGTGCTTTCAGTACTTGAGTTTTTGCTGCTACTTGGAAACTGGGGGCAGGCAGAAGCTGTGCCTGCTGATTGAAACTCTTCTCTAAAGCGCTCTCTCTCTCTCTCTCTCTCTCTCTCTCTCTCAAGGCAATGTTATTTAAGTCACCTTGATCTCCCCTTTGATCTCCTAGGCTGCTTAAGCTTGCTGTATGTTCTCCAGCTGTTAGTTAAGTGTAATTAGTTGGATCAATCTCAAAGTTCATTTTGGGAGTCAGAGTTAATAATTAATTACCATTTTCTTAAGAAAATGATCAATCAGGAGATTTTTCTATCCCACCCCCCATCTCCGAAGATAATTAATCTGTTGATATTAAGGGGTTTGATGTCCAATTTCTCTACCTTTGCTAACTGTAATCTGAATCACTTGAAGTTCAAATGAGGGATTGTACCCTGAATTCCAGTGGGCACATGAGACCACCCACCTCAGCTTCCCTGGGCAGGCACTTCACAGGGCAGAGGCTGTCTTCTGCCTTCTTCTGTCTTGAGAAGCTGCCTTATCCGAAGAGGTGTCTGCTCCAAATGTTTTCCCCCTCCCACTTCGTTTGATACCTATTTTTATATTGCATGAATTGCCAGAGTCTCAACTCACAAGGTTTTGGGCTGCCAAGCTTTTTCAGTACCACTTGGCCATGGCTCATTGTACTCAAATGTGGCCAGCCTGCCTTATAACTGGGGCAGAACAAGGCAGTATAGTTTGTCTGTTCCTAGAAGGGGTCCTCCTTGCAGAGAGAGAAGAGATCTGCCTGTCCTCATGGGAGCTTGCTTCATTCAGCATGTCACAAACTAGCTTGCTTTTGCCTTGTGATTGGTCATCAGCAGCTAAACATGAGCTTCATTTGTGAGTCTGATTGCTCAGCCTTGGGAGTTCTGAAGGAAGGTATCTTTAGGCCTCAAACAAAAAGAACATATAGTAACTTTGTAATTACTTTGGATCTGAAGTTATGCTTATTTGGGCAGCGAAAGGGAAGCCTCTTTTCAAACCAGCTTAGGGACTGGAGTGTCTGCTTCGTAGTCAGGATGCTCCTCCAGATGAAAAAACTTGGCTGAAGCAGGAGAAGTTCCCCACCCACTGATTACAGCAGCCTCTTGCCGCTTCCAACCGGGGACCAGAGTGAACACTTTGGAAATTCCAGACAGAAAGTGGGGAGGCTTCATCACACCCTATAAAGATGTGGGCTGGTGGGGAGGGGAGAGGAACTTGTGTCCTTCCCACCATACAAACAACAACTTGCACTTTTATCGCAAGGAAAGCCCTTATGAGTTTGGATGTTCTTTGGCTGAAAGACAGTGAGGTGAGAGCAGAAATTGAGGAGAGAGGGAGGGAGGGAGGAAGCCCAACCTGGCACTTGGCCCAAACTTCTGTTGTTTCCAGAAACATCTAATTGATGAGGCCATAAAGCAATGTTATGTTTCCCTGACACAACAGCGACAACATCCCTTCCCGTGGTATTAATTGTCAATAAAAGTTAAATGAGGATGCGAGCCAAGATTGAGTGGCACTTGGGCGCTTTCGAAGCCTGTGCCCTGCCGTGCTTCGGCTTCCGAGCCCACCGAGCTCATTACGGTCCATGATGGCGCTAATGCTTTGTGCATTAATCTGTGACATCCCAGCTTTCTCCAGAAGGAAAACAAGGGGCCAGTCATAGAATAGGAGGGAGAAGGAGCCTCAAAGAGTCCTCTGTTTCTCCCACTGCTGGTGCAGGAAATCTCCAACAAAAGCAGGCTTAAGAGTTGACCATCCAACTTTGGTTTAAAAATCTCTGATGTAGGAGAAACCACCACCACGTTCTGATATCGCCCGTTCCACTCTCAAACAGCGCATACCACGAGGAAGTTCTTCCCAATTTTTCCTGGAATCGCCCTTCTTCCCAATTCAGCCCAGAGGTTCAGTTCTTACCCTCTGCAGTCACAAAAAAAACCAAGCTTGCGCCGTCTTCCATGTGACAGTGCTCCAGATATTTAAAGAGCTTTATTTGGCATTCCCATTTCTCAAAGGTAACTTTCATGGTTATTTTTATTACACAAATATACTTGAATGTTATCTGCCACTGGTCTGTGGCACAAAACAAGCTTTCCTTTGTTCTGTTGAGATTTTGATATAAATGTATTAAATATTAATGTATAGTTAAATGTAAAATGGCTGGTTTTTACCTGAGTCACGGTACTGATTGTGTTCAGGTGTGGGTATCAAGGATTAAGACTTAATGTTGTGCAACTGGTATACATGATGAAACTTTGGGTAACAGAAAATGAAGTAATATATTTTCTGATTGGTCACAGAACTGTACATAAGTCATGTGTAAAATGAACATCTTTATCTGCTGTAAGTCAGATCATTTTTTCCTATGCTGTGTGTTGCTTCAGGTCATGTTATGCTGCCAGGGGAATGTCTGTTCTCTATGTACATATGTAAATAGACGAAGTTGTTGGTTTTACCGTCTCAGTGTCATAAGTATATCTGCTAACCAATATCTCCTTACTCTGCTGGTGTTATGAGAATACACGTTATCATCAAAATTATCAACAGGGGATCCTATTACCTGCCATCCGCCAGCCTCTTCTGGACACGTTCCATCTTCTTGACCTCCTTCTGGGACTCTGGTGCCCAAAACCAGGCACATGCTAGAGCAGGAGGTTGAGGTTACTTTAGAGGTCTTTTGAGGGGAGATCTACACTGGAGAAAGACAGCAGCGGGCACCGCTCCTTGAAATCTGCACCCACCCAATTCTGCCTTGCTCTGCCTGTGTTATATCCCTTGCCATATTTTGTTGTCTGTTTTAGCTTTGAAGTGCAGTTCCTGGGATGCAGGGTGGCCATCCCAGCTGAGAGTCTTCCACTGCAGGAACTGCAGCCAGTAAGCAAAGGAAAGCTGGTGGAAGAGGAGAAAATAGAGGAGAAAACAGGCCTTGTTTTAGCAACCATATACAGCCCGCCTTTCCGGCATTCCCCCTTCTAGTGCAGGACTGTCTGCAACATGTAGCTGAGCTCAGAGAAAGGGGGTTCCTGCCACAGTTTGGTAATTCCTCTATTGTCCCAGATGGCTTTACTCTTTCTCTGGCACTGTGGGGTATGGCAAAAGTCAGATAATTCTTCCATGTCGAAGCAGCATGGTGCACCAGGGATGTACTGTATCTGGAGGCTTCACAGATAGAGAGTGCTGCAGATGTATGGAAACTGCCTCAGCAGAGGGAATGGTACTGCTGCTGAGTCTCCTATCCCCAGCCTATGACCTACATTTAGTGTCCCAGTCCTAGCCTTAATTCCAGGTGCTGTTGCTCCTCAGTGGGGCAGTGAATGACACCCTGTGCAAGCTCAAAAATATTCTCATTATTGCCCCTTCCCTCTTTCTAGATTTAAGCCTTGACATATGAGCCAGGCTCTGGTGCCTACAATCTGTGGCTTCCTTGAAGCAAACTGGCAACAGGAGGATAGCCAGAGAGGTATGACTCTTGGACATGTTTGTTTCGGGTTTGTGCGTGAGAGGGAATTCTTGCATGTAGCACGTGCCTTCCCTGCTTGCTTGCATTTCTTTTCAAGAAGCTCCACGAGTGGTTCTGCCCCCTTCACTCCCCTGCTCCTGTTTTGATCTGTCTCAGTTTGAAAGCCATGGGAGTGGACCCATTCGGCACTCGTCAAATCCCTCCTCCTCCTCCTCCTTCTCCTCACATATTCTACCGGATGCACCAGCATCTTCCCGTTAGGAGGTGCTGACAAGCAGGCTCACTTGGGGTGATTAATTGGCAACTCAAATTAATCACAAGCCTCTTTGGTGTGGCTGCAGCGGAGGGGCGGCCTGCTGCTTGAGATATAGACCGTTCCACCAGTTGCATGAGAAAGACCAGAGACCATTACTGAGCACATTTGTCAAGAAGTCACTTCCCTGCCATTGTGGTGGCGGTGGAAAGGTCAAGCGACTTTGTTATTCTTAAGTAGGGCACCGAGTGAAAACTCAGATGCCTTCAGTGTGCTTAATGTGCCAGTTAAGAGGCAGTAATTTGAGTGGCTGGCATGGTGTGGGTGGGGAGGGTGAATTCCTTTGGCTGCCCTTGTAAGCACTGGAGCTCCAAATGCACAGGAAAAAAGGGCCGAGAATTTTAAAAAATTCAGGACAAAGGATTGTACTCTCACTCACTCCCTCTCTCTTTCTCTGTATGGACTACAGAATAGCAGACAACAAGGGAATGTTAGTTAAGTAAGGGTGCATGTTTTTGTACGAGAGAGAAGTGGAAAAAACCAGTTAATATGTGACATATGATGTGGAAGGTGCCTACTGTTCTCTAGAAAAGTCATTTTTAAGTGTTCTGGTGGCATTACGTATTTTATAGATCCTGTTGATAGACTGTGAGTTTCAGCTGTGAGCAAGCTGTAGGTGGTGTGTATATCGGCATTGAAAAGGCACAGAGGAGATACTTTTCTGACCTTGTTCAGTTTTCTGGCTTTGTCTGGATGCATTTTTTGACCCTGCGTGGATGGTGTTGTTATATACTTCAGTCACTAGGTGGCACTGGACTTAATAGTATCTGGGAGGAGTCATGCACTTGCTGAGTCTTGTTGGAGAAAAACTGCAAAGACTCAAAGCGAACATCTTGCTTCTCACAGGATGTGTCTTCTAAGCTTTACGTGATGAGGTTTCACAATGTGTTGATGTTCTATTGTGACTCCCATCTGTTCTCACTGCCGTAGCTAATGTTTAAGGGGGTTGCAGTCAGGCACTCTCCCACTAGGCCTACTAGTTGGAATGGTCTCATGGAGTAGCTGTCAGAATAGGATCCTGTGGTGCCATTTCCTATATATGTCTTTGAAGCCCTGGATCAGGTTGTCTGCGTGTCCAAGCCTTCCAGTGCTCTAGGTCTTTGGAACGGGAAATTCCACGGCATTCGTTCCATCTCTGCCAAATGCCTCATAGTAATATTCTGTGATCTTATGCAGACTCCCATTTGTTCATATGTGTTGCTGCAGTTTTTAAAGCTGGTTATTTCAGTTGTTGTAGCCCATCCCTTTTCCTTCCTCAAAGCAAGGCCCAGGCGCAAGAGACTGTCCTTCTGTGGCTCGTTGGGGGTCCTTCAACCCTCCCGTTTGAGGCTGTGCCCAACAGAGGAGGGACGCTTAGCCAAGCCAGGGTCATGCATCTGTATCAAGTTGGGCAAGGAGAACCCGCCCGAAAGGCAGGCAGGCTGCGTCCCTGTTTCTGCTTCTTCCCCAAAGCAAAGACACGTGAGTCTTTCTGTCTTTTGCCACCATGTTGGTGTCTTCCTGCCTCCATACCCAAGCCAGGGCTCCTAGTTGCCACCCAGGCGTTTTATTTACCTTATTAATCCCTAAGGGAGGAATCTTAATTACTTTAAATTACTGTCGGAGAAATTAGAGTGGTCAACAATTCATCACTCTGATTTCCCATCCCCTCATACCTCCCACCCACCCACCAAGAAGGTGCAATCGGCAGCCAAGGCAGCAAGATCTATTATTGATGAACTTTGCGGAGGCCCACTAATTAACTGCAAACATACACACGTAGATCCTAAGCATAGCGTTGCTGATGTTTCTGGCAGAGAAATAAAGTCAAAGAGACTGGCTGAGGAAGTGCCCCTTCTCTTTTCGTAAGATAGCAGGGGTATGTCAAGAGGTGGCGGTGCCTAAAGACCCTGGCTGACTTCTTGAAGAAAAGACATGCCAGTAGATTTCCCTGGAGGTGAATAACACATGGCTTACTAGCAGGGTTTGGAATGTCACCCCATTCTGGCTGCCACCTTGGCAAAAGGACTCCACAGCTTTGTTTTGTCCTTACCACATGGCATAAAGTTACTCTTTGATTCCCCCTCATGGCGACTTCTGATACTACATTTTGAAAAGAGTTTTTAAAAAGAAGCAGCAAATAGTCCCAAAATGCGGCTTGGGACGGATGAGAGAATGATGTTAAATGATGAAAAACATTTGCTAAAATCCTTGTGCAAATGCCTCAAAATGTACTTAAAAAGTAACCAAAAAGGAATGTTGCCGTTCCTCATTATGCTCCTTTCAAAACATAACTTAGTCACACTGTTGTTGCTGCCCAAAGTAACTTGTTGCAAGTAATGGCAACATTTCTAACTAATTTCTGCCAAGCTTTGTTTACCAAAAGAAAAGAGGCAAGAGACCCTCAGAACATCTCTAGAAATCAAGGAGAGCAGTAGCAACAGCACGAGGTTTCTTTGCCACTGGAGGCTAGTGGCTCAGTGACTTTTTGTGGCAAGTCATTCTCAGTTTCTGCAAAATTTCCAGAAATGTAGCCATGCTAGTCTGTTCCTCAGAGAGCAGAACAAACTGGGTTTGAACTTTGGAGCAGCACGAGATCGGCTCGCATCCAGATTGCTATACGTTCTTCGATGAGCTGCTGTTCTGGTTTCTGTTCTCTTGCAAGAAGAGAGCTGCGCTCCGCGACACTGATTCTCAAGCGTCCTTGAGAATCAGCTACACAATTCTCCCGGTTCACTGGTCCTGGCCCGGCCTAGCCAAGCTCGCCCCTCTTGCCTGAGCTGTCAGATGCTGGCTGTGCCGAAGAAGACCCGCCATCTTGTGGGGCCTCTGCTAAGGCCACCGAGTGTGTGAGTGACTTTTGCTCTCTGCTGACGGCCTCTCTCTGGGGCAGCCCTGAGTTATAGAGCTCCGGTACTCATAAAAGATAATCACCCTTCACGGGTGAAGTCGCCTCCATTTATGCCAGCATGGAGGAAGGATTGATGGACTGTGCAATTAAAAGCACAAGATCTGTGGGCGTCTTGGGGGCTGGGCGAGATTTATAATAAAACAGGAACTCTGTGGCATGTGAAATCCTGGAGTGCAAGAGACAAGACTTTGCCTCACCTTTGGTTTAGCAGTGCCTACCCTTCTTCCCCCCCCCCTACATTTGCAGCATGTGGGGGGGAGCAGAGTTAGAGGAGGACCTGGAAACTTGCCACCACCAGGGCTGGGAAAGAGACCGTGTGAAGAGGGAAATGAGTTTGATTGAAGTATGGGGCTGGGCCCAGCACTCCAGAGGTGCACCCAGGGCCTGGGGGACGGTGTGCCAGATCCCTTCTCTCTGTTGGGAACAGCCACCCATCTCTCCTCCAGATGCCCCACCTGGGTGGCGATGCAGGGGTGAAAAGGCCCCCAGAGCACTGGAAGGGACAGGGACAGTGGCCACAAACACCCAATCAAAAATGAGGATAAGAGAAAGCACTAGTTAGCAGAAAATATTTCTTCATTTAGTGGTACTGATGCAAAATTAAATGTGTATTTTAAAATTTTTTTAATGAATTGCAACACATCTCACTTGAGTGTGGAAAACAGTGACCAGGTTATCTGTGGTCCTACTGTGAGTCTACCTGTGGATGTTGGGTGACTCTGAGGTTCCTGATCTCCCTCCTTCTTGGTTTCTTGGTTTTTTAGATCAAATGTGTAGTGGGCAGCCATGCAAATGGAGCACAGGTTCAAGAGGAGAAATATCTCCTAGCAGCCCTTCAAACAGAGGACTGTTCTCCCTAGAAGAGGAGAATGCTTTCTGTGCCAAGAAAGTGTGTTCTGGCAGTCAAATCTGTGCACGCGTGTGTTTAGGATGGGGCAGGGCTGGCAGAAGATAGGAGGCGAGGTGGTAGGAGGCTGAGAAGAAGCAGAACAGGAGAACCACCCCTGGATCTGCAACAAAATCCTCACCTTTGCCACCTCGCTGAGTAGGCCTGGTCCTGAAGAAAGAGGGGAGCCTCCCCAGGCACTCCGAAAAGCCTCTCCATTCCTTCTTTCTCCCCAAAGGCTCCACCTGGCTTGGTGGAGCCTTGGTTTCCCCAGCAACCGGTGGGGGAAATTGTTTCCTGCCAGAGGTGAGAATACCAAAGGCTTCCCCTTCCTGCCCCAGCAGGCCCAGTTGGGCTTCTCCCACCTGGGAGAGCAGAGTCACGGGAGGGAAGCGCTCCAGGTGCAGCAGGGAACGAGGCGGAGGTGGCGGGTGCGAGACCCGATGCCTGGAATTGTCTGGAGGCGGCGACCAGGCTGAGGTTGTGTCTGTTCTTGCATTTCCTGCCCGGAGGGTTCCTCTTGCCTGCTTCCCCACAATCCGTGAGTTCAGTATGCTGTGTCTCTCTGAAGAATGTTCTCCTTGGAGCTTTCGTTCTCATGAAGGGGTGGGAGGTGGGGGTGGCACCTGGTTGGGAGGCACCCACCTTCCTGCCGGGCTGCTGAGCATCTCTCAGCGGTGCGGGGAAAGCCCCCATCGGCCAGTGCACCCTGAGCAGGGTCACCCACGAAATGACGAGCAGGGGCCATCAGGCAGCATGAAGGATAGCTTTGGAGAGGAAGCTTTCAGCTGAGCTAAGTGTCCCATCTTCTGAGTGGAAGTGAGGGTCCATTAGTCAATTGTCTCCTGAACCAGGCCTTGGTCTGTAAGTGGAAAAGATGATTTTATGGCCCCATAAATCATCAAACGTTCAATTAAACAAGTCCTTTAATTGTTCCCTTTCCCTGTCCTTCCAGCACCCAGCCTCTAATAACACTTGGGACCTGACGCCCAGGTATTGACTCTGTGAGCCCCCCTTCAGCCAAGGGCAGGGATGGAGAGGTTTCCATTTAGGGCCATTTGCAGGCAGGGGGGTACTCTAGGATATCCCGCCCCCCTGCTCAATGGACCACCTTCTCTGAAGGAAGGATTCCTATACAGAAATGTGGCCTGGAGGGTGCCTCCTCAGACCGCCCCCGCTATGTCCCAGGGGGAAAAAAAATCCCCTTGCACCTGCTGTTGTGTATAACCAAAAGTGAAAAAACAAACTCTCGTTTATCTAGCGAAAGCCCCACCAAATCAAAACAAAAACCTGCATTGGCATCTTAAAGACTAAATGTTATAATTCCAACACAACCTTCTTATTCTCTGCTCCTTATTATTCTTATTCCCTTCTCTGATGCTGCCAGGATGGGTCTTTGGCCTTTCACAAGCTGACAACTGTGGATTTCCTTCCCCTGCAGCCGCCTGGGCTGCTAAGAAAGAGGCCCCTATCCTGTCCCTCCAGGGAGGGTGAAAGGGGGGGGTGTCCTCGCGAGGTGCTGGCTGTGGAGGGAAGAGAGGAGATGCAGTCCGGCCCTTCCCGAGGTCACCGGCTGTAAAATGACTCGGCTTCTCCGGGCCCTGCGAAGAATCCCCACGGCCTGCCAAGCCAAACAGTCGGCTTCCCTGCGGCTGAACTGCATCCAGACAGACTGGGCCGGGCTCCAGCCTGAGGTCAGCCAGCCAGCCAGCCAGCCGGCTGGCCCTGGACGAAGCCGGCCCTCCAGGCTGGAGGAGAGCAGTGGACTGTGCAGTGCAGCGCCGGCCTCTGCCGGTGTGTGACCAGGAGAGGAATGGGCCAGAGGAGCGACTCTGACATGTTCCTAAGAAGGAAGAATGCAGAGTTTCCAGTCAAGCTGAAAGACGGATTGGCTTCACCAGGAGCCTCCATCTGGCAGCTCCAGAAAAAAAAAAGCCGTGGTGGAGAAGAGAAGGAAACAATCCAGTCCTTGGAATATTCACTCGGGAACAGTTTGGGCGCAGCAGGAAGCTGTTGTGACTGCCCCGCTCTCCTCGATTTGCTTTCCAATTTTTCAACAAGTGCTGCCATCGGCCCAAGACACTTCCCTGGTCCCGGCTGCACGCGGGCCAACTAGCTGGTGTGGTGCATGCGTGAGTGGCTGTTCCCCCAAGGAGCCTGTCTGTGTTAGGGTGGGGGAGCACCTTCCAGATGGATCGGTCCTCACAATGTCCTTGGGTACGGAGTGAAAGGTGGAAAGCTCCTGGAGGCGGGAGCGAGAGAGTTTTAAACATTTTAAAGCCATCATCCGGGAGCTGCCCACCCGTCCCCATGCAGGACCGTCAGCCGTCAAGAGGAAGAGGGTATAAGGTGCACCAGGAGGATAAAATGGAGCGATGAGCTGTGGGTTGATCAAAAAAACTGAGACAGTCCTCAAACCAGAGACCTCCTGGAAGTGTTTCAAGATATTATTATTCTTTATTATTTCTCACTTTTCTGCCCCGCCTTTCCACTACAACATTATGCTCACGGTGGCTTACAGTCATTGTAAAACTTAACAAGTACAGTGAAAGAACAAATTTATTCTTGCTTGGGTGGATAGAATACTGGGAGACAACAGCAGGATTTGAAGCTGAGACCTCTAGTATGCAAATAAAGCTCATTTGTACCCAAGCATAGATTAAAAATGCCCATAACTCCCTCAGTCAGAGAAGGGTTCCTACAGATGCCTCATGCTTCCGTGTATCTTGGGGAGATTTTCTGGGGCTCTTGTGCCCTTAATTAAAACATTCAAGCATTCCTGGTCTGCACCTCCCTTATGTAGATTGCTACTGGGAAATTATCAGCAGTGCATTGCCCTTTTAGTTGCTTCAGTGCCACATTCTGAGAAAAAAGGCTTTAATTAATCCACTTTTGCATCCCCTCTTTGCATATCCCCCCCCCCTCTAGCCAGGAAGTCAGAACACCATGGACAGCTGCTGATGGGAAAAGGGCTTCCATATGGAATACACATGGCAGGAGAAAGGAGACAAGGTGGAGTCAGCTGGCAAGGTAAGCCCTGCCCTGCCCGCCCTCATGGTGCTGGTTTGGCCCATGGGTGGCAGAACCAAGACGCTGTTGGGTGAAGTATAACACAGCAGGAGAACAGAGCAGGCCAAGGGGTAAAGGGCCCCTTTTTCAGATGCAATCCTAACCGCACTTTTGCCCACTCGGGTGAAAGGCACTGGTTCTCACTTTGAATTCTGGGGATCATTTGTCGTTTTGCAAATGTGCATCTCAATTACTGCAAAGCGGTGTCCTCTTTTCATTCTCCTTTTTAAGGGGAGCACAAGTGGCCATCCTAGAATGATGGTTGGCTTCACAAGGTTGGTGTACCTGTACCGGCAGCGAGGGGGGGGGGAGAGGGAGGGCTTTTTCCCCCACTTCCCTTGGCAGAATTAGCTCCAGCCCTGAGAGATAGTTTGGGTTGTGGGGAAGGAACACTTGGGTGGAGGGTTGTGGGGCTTTCTCTTCTTTGCAAGGCAAATAAGCCCCAGCCCCCTCCCAATGAAGCTCTCCTGGGGCAATTCAGAGAGTATCAGAGCAACACAGACTGTGTTGCACTGCCCCCCCGCCCCCCTCCAGCCAGCTCTCTCTCTTTTTTGGCAGCGTTTGCCACATCCAGTCTGTTTAGCATCAGCTTAGCCCCATCGCGGCAGGCTGGGACCTCCGCATTCGAGGCTATTTTTGCATTCAGTTCAGTTTTTATCATTTTAAGGTTCACGCGTTTCTAATTGTTATGAATACCATGGTAAAATTAATAGTTCTATGGTTGGTTTATTACATTTAGTAAAATTATGGGCATGTAATGTTTGCCAAGAAAAGACACTGCACAGACTTTAATCATGTAAAGATGATAATTTAGTTGTTACACTTGTTGAAATGATGGGATTAATTTTTTTTAAAGTTTGCAAGCTGCAGGAGGAAGTCAGGAAGAAAAACGTTTACTGAGACAAGCAAAGTGAGGGCTGCCAGCCATCACCGTCTGACCTATGGATGAAGGGGGAAGAGCCTCACCAGCCTCTCCTCCCCCAGGACACACGGGGGGAACATCATGGTCACTCTGGATCCAGGGTGACACCACCCTGAGATAGATAGCAAAGTTTGCATCTTACTGCTGGTTCCAATCTTCAGACAAGAACAGGGCATTCTGTAGAGACTTCCCCAGAGCATGCCAAGTTTTTAAGGAGGGAGGGAGAAAGCCTGCAGCCATCTGGGGGTCTCGGACTTTGTCTGCACTGAAAGTGTATGCTGATTCCAAAGGGCACATGATGCCATGCTTATTTACTGGGCCACAGACTTCCTTCTGTATTGCTGTCTCAGAATAAGTCCTTTTTACAGCAAGGGCCCCCTGCTCCTTTAATTAGAAGTTTCCCTGCTCCATCTTTTGCCTGTAGTTGCTTCCCCTTCAGCACTGCCCACCAGCTGTGGCACTGCTGATGAGTTGCCCCTTCCTTCCTCTGTTGTAGAAGAAAAGAAAGGAGGTCGCTCCCCTTCCCCCACCCCTATCTCCTTAGGCTAGGGTCATCAAAGCCGTGATACCTGCCCTGGCTAACTCCATCCAAATGTCAGGAGGACCGTCTCTCCCACAAACCCATTCCTACACAAACATTTGGGTGAGCAGTAATCATGTAAGGTTCTGGCTTGTCAGCTCAGCCCCCAGAGTAAATAAACTTTCCCCTGAAAGGAGACGAATTGGATGCTGTAGCTGCCAAACCTGGGAACGACTCTGTCGGAAAACGTTAGGCCTGCAGCTCACCCTCGTGGCAGCGGCAGGCAAGCGAGAAATGGGGCTGCCGGCTCACATTTGACAGAGAGGGATGCCTCGGCTAAGCGTTTCCAGCAGCCGACTGGAAAACCAGCACCTGTGCTCCAGCAAGGGTTGGGGGGGGCACAGGGGAGGACCCCCAAGCAGGCTTACTCCGATGCATGCCTAGCAAAGAGGGTGAGCTGTTGCCGAGGCCTGGATATAGTTTTTTCCCTTTGGGGAGTGAATTCCGCCCCCCAGAACCTCTTGCTTAGACCATGTGAAGAGGATGGAGTTGTGTTTCCAGCACCCCCATTCCTGTAGGATTTGGGGGGCCCACATCAGAGGCGCAGTGTGCAGCTTTGTGACATCCCAGGGACAGGAGAGGTAAGATTTGAGAGGAGGGCCAAGCCTGCTTCCTTCTGGTGAGTCCCCAGCTTTGGAGGCAAACCCAAGGGCCTTGTCCTCTTCTCCTTTCCTCCAAATGACACAAGGGGCCCATGGTTGGTGCATCAAAACAGTCAGGGGGGAGGAGAGGGGACTTGGGCGAAGCCCACCCACCGCAGCGCGGGGGACGAGGCACCCAAACGGGTTGAGCCAGAGAACTATGCCTGCAGCTGGAAATGGATGGCATTCAGGGCCCAGGGCCCCCTCCCCACAATGCAGAAATCAAAATCATTTTGTTTGTTTGTTTGTTTGTGTGTGTGGGATGTTCCCTGTAATTCACACACAGGGGCTCTTGCATCCAGAGAGCATCAAGCTGCCTGCGCAACCCCAATACTCTGATGTAAGGGGCACAGCAGGTGGTGCCTCACACATGCCAGCTGCGATGGGCCAGCGACCACTGTTTGCTGGTGGTCGGAAGGACTCTGTTTCCCTTGGTGGCCCTTGGTCTTTCCAACAGGACTGGTGGGATGGGAGGGGCTAGATCCTTATGCTTTCAATGTGACTATGTTTGCATCCTTCATGTCCTGTAGTACTCCACCTTCCCTCCAGACATAAGATTTCATACCGCTCAGTGGTGATGACAAAACTTCAGCATTTCAGCAGTGATGTGCTTTCTGCCCCAGGGCCAGAGGGAGCAAGCCGCCGAATGCCACTAGGCCAGGGGACAAGGAGCGTTTCTCCTTTTTCCGCTTGGCCACCAGTAAGGATGTGACTTTGGAGGGGTGCAGGGGCACGTTCTGAGCGCAGCAGGATAAACAGCGCGGCTCTGCATGTCTGCGAGGGCTCTCCTGACATCCGGACGGCTCAAGAGGCAATTGCCTCTGACAGGCCTGCTTATTCCCCGCCCAGCTGACCAGTTTGTGAATCGATGCAACGGAGGCGAGGATCTTGCCACTATCAGATCTCATTAAACCAGCTCCCATTCTCTGTTTTAGCTGTGTGTGTGTGTGTGTGGGGGAGAGAGATGGCCCCCAATGGGGTGTCTGTCTCTGAGGAGATGGAATTGTGTTCAGCTAATGATGTTTCAGTGGGGGAAGGCCGCTATACCCCTACATTACCTGGAAATGCAGGGTCTGGCTGGCTGGCTTGAAAGGAGCCCCAGTGGGCTCTGGGGTGCTCTGTGTCTCTGCCCAGACCAGCCCCCTTGCTGCGGGACACCCGGAAAAGATCCTGGTCCTCTCAGACAGGCTTGCTGGCCAGCCGACTGGCCCGCAGAACCCAAGCAACGGCAAAGGAAGCTTCCGTAGCTGCTCAGAGCTTGGTAAAGGGAAGACAACGCCCTGATCCTCCAAGCAAGTGGCCGTGCTGGTAGGGGGATTTTGAGCATTTGAGGGCAACGCTTGTCCAGGCCCTGATCCTGTGCCATGAATCATCTGTGCAACATCTCCCAGGCCGGATATTGAACATGCACCGCCTCCTCTCTTGGCGCGTAAAGACTATTCATTAAATTCACATCGCTTTGGGCTGATGGGGCATCGTGACAAGGAATTTCTCAAGTCCCAGGGCAGTCCTAATTGGTGCTAGCTGGTGTGCACCTCAGCTGCAAAAAAGGGAAATGCCAAACTCTGCCCCTCACCTCTCTCCTGCAAAAGTGACCCTAAAAATAAAGCACACTTTTGTTTCCTATGAAAGAGCCCAAAAGAGCTTGGAGAAATACGCTGAGATAGGAATGGTGATAGGTACAAAATTGTTCTGGCTGACAAAGGTGGAGATGGAGGAAGTCACAGCCGCATGCCGTGTCTTCTCCAAGAGAGGGAACCAGCCGGGCCCCATCTTTGCTGTCCTTTCACGGGCAGGCAAAGACGTTTCTCTTCAGGCAGGCTTTTCCTTTTAATGACCGGTGGTCTGAGAGGAGCTTTTACATGGATGGCTGCACTCGGTTTTAAATGTGTTTTAGTACTGATTTTATTTGCCATTTTTAATAATAATACTTGTTTGTTTCCTTTTTCATATATGTATACTTCCTGTTTTTGGCTTTTAAATATTGACTTTCTAAGGATGCAAGCCACATGGGGAGAAAGGTAGGATAAAACTATTTAAAATAAATAAATAAGGGATGATGGGAGAAGAAGCAAGGGACACCAGCCGCACTAGGAGGAGCCGTCTAGGGAGAAGGAAGGCCAGGTCAGAGCAGAGAGTACGAGAGAAAATCTGCAAAAGCTAAGGAAGGGCCTGTTCCTTCACCACCCTCTTCCCAAGCAAAGCATCCATCTTTCTCGGAGAAGCTGCACCCAGTCACCTCCGACGGGCACAAACAGAATTCCTAGCCTGTTTCGTCATGAGGCCTATCCTGCTCCCACATGAGTTGACCGGGGATGTGGCCTCTTTGTGGTCCCACAGTTCTGGACCTGCCAAATGCATAACAAGACAAGGAGGCCAGTAAATGGTCTTTGAAGGGTCTTTCACAAAGGCTGGGTCTGCCTCCCCTCTTAATCTCCCCTCTCCCCCCCCCCAAAAAAAAACAGTGCAGAGGGTTGCCTTTCCAGGCAAAATGGTCCCCACTGGAGCAGTGGGCGAGTGACGGCACAGCCCTGGTTGTGTGAGGCGGAGAGTGGAGAACGTGCCCAGAAAAACAAGCGCCTGCTGAGGGGACAGCTGGACACGCTGCTTCAGCTTGGCCAGCCTCCCACTCTTTGGAAGCTGTAAAAAGAGATCTCTGCAGCCGCGAGGTGGATGGAAAACGTTGCCTCATCCCTTTGGACTCCTTGTGGAAACAAGCGTACACACACACATGGAAACAACCGTACACACACATACACACACAAACACACACACACACACACACACACACACACACACACACACACACACAGGGCGAGCGAGCGAGAGAGCTGTGTCACAACAAGGCTGAGAGGGGAGGGGGGGAGGAACTCGAGGCGTAAAAGCAGGACTTGTTTAAATTGTGTGAAACCTCAAATAAATCTCTGAGGATCGGGAGGAAAGGGCCCTGCCTCAGCCACGCAGGCATCCTTGCACTCCACCCAGGGAGGGATTGGAAGCTGCCAAGGATGGGAGAAAGGGGGGGGGGAGTCTCGCCTCACCCCACCTGGTTTGGCGCAGAGGAGACCTGTGCCAAACACATCTGGATCCAG